ACCATCTCATTCAACCATCACCTCCTTGCTTTAAGTAACAGATGGAAAACCCAGGATCAGAGAGGGTAAGGAATTTGTCCAAGGGCACATAGCCCAAGTCAGCCAGAGTCCAGAACCTGAGCCCAGAACCACTGTATATGCGACCAAAGTGTCCTCCCATCCCGACCCTTCAACTGGACGGGGCGGAGTTTTAGTGACCTCTGGAAACCGCCCAGACTCCTCCTTTGCTGAAAGCATGGGGCAAGGTCTAACTTCCCTCTCAGACCTTCCCCCAGGCCTTGAGCCTTCTTTCTCAGAACCCATGTGATACCCTAGTTCCCCCTGAGCGCCTTCTCCTCCCCCCACTGGGACAGTCACCTTTACAGGACCAGTAGCTCAGGATTAGATTAATGTGTTTATTCTTGTTTTATTTTTAATGGCTTGAAGTAAAGTCTAAACTACTCTGTGGGGGTGGAGAAGTGGGGGAGTCTTTATGAGGCTAGGGAAGAGAGCCCAGGAAGATGTGAACAAGGCGTTTCTGAGCTGTTAAGCTTTCTGTGAGTTCTGAAGCAGTGCGGAACTCACATACATTCATAGAATTTCAGAACTGGAAGTAGTATCTAGAGCTACAGTGGGTTCAAATCCTGGGTTCACCATTTCTTAGCTGTGAGACCATGGGCAAGTTGCTTAACCTTTCTGTGCCTTGGTTCAAATGGGGGACAATAATAGTACAGGCTTCACCATGTTGATGTAGCAAACTATTATTAGCTCTTTGTGGTTATTGTTTATTGAGAACTCACGGTAACGATGAGAACCTTGCAGAACCTGTACAGCATAGGGGAGAGCTCAGAGGCTCAGACCAGGCTGCTTGCATCTAAATCCTACTTCACTACCTACAGTTGTGTGATCTTGGCTAAGAAGTTGACTTCTCTGAGCCTCAGTTTCTTCATTTGCCAATATTTCTCTTGGCTTAGCGATGGCATGTGAGACTCGATTGGACCAATGAGATTCAAGGCCAGGACTCGTGCTGGCACTAGCAGGGCAAAGAGGTGTTCTTCACATTGAAGTTGCTGAGCTGGCAGGCTGTGGGCCTGGATCTGCTGGGCCCACCTTGGTTACCTCGGGAGGAGAGCCTGCCTGAGAGTAAGGCTAACACCAGGGGAAACAGATAAAAGAGCTGTTGCGAGACAGTCATGATGACATTGCTTGGGCCCCTGGATGTAGCCATGCCTGAAGCAAGCCATTTTTGGACTTCCCAGTTTCATGAGCCAGCAAATTCCCCGTTTTGTGAAAGCCACATTCAGTCGGGTTTTTCTCACTGGAAAGCATCCAGGCTGAGACCAGAAGGTTAAGCAATTTGCCCATGGCCTGAGAGCCAGTAAGTCGCTAACCCAGGATATAGAAGCTTCTCACCTGCTGTGCCCATTGCTCCAACATCGGGGCCGTTCTGTATTTGGGTGTTTGTTGATTTCATCTCTTTACCCTCTCTGAGCAGCCATTTTCTCATCTGAAAAATGGGATAACGCCTGACTTGCAGGGCTGTTGGGAAATAGAAAATGCTGGACAACATTGTTACCTGGTGCTGTCTGTGGCTGCAGGCGGAAGCTCTGTGCATCGTTTCTAGTGCTTTGGCCTTTGACTTTGGCTCCGGTTAGTTATTCCATCTCAGGGGTGTCTTTGGCTGACCCCCAAATCAACCAACTAGTCAAGGTACCCACACTGTGTTAGCCTGTGTGACTCTCAGAGGGAAGGGCCATTCCCTTGCTCGTTGCATGTCCTCAGTGGTGGACAGAGGGAGCTGGGGGACCCTGAGGCCCCTTCAGTTCTGAGTCCTATGGTGGAAAGAAGCCCTGTCTTCTCAGTTTCTGGAACGTTCCAAGGACTCGTGGCTCTTCTTGGAATGACCTCTAGCTTAAGACAGCATTGAACCAAATTGACTTAGTTTCTTTTCTTCATGAAATCAACATTTAGTGGTGGAGACAGACGATGAACACCTAAAACAAATATTTAACATAGTGCTGTGGTAACACTGGGGAGAAAGTATGACACCAAATGCCTGGTAAGTGCTAAGAAGGAAAAGGGATAGAGTGACTGGGCACTGTTTACTAGGAGGCACCAGAAGGGGCCTCTCTGAGGAAGTGACATTTCATCAGAGACCAGTTTGGTCTCACTCTGGATCCCAAGCTCTTAACACTGAGCCATCTGCCAGGAACAAGACCAGGACGAGGCAACTTGCTGACACTGCTAAGCTAGGAGTCGATGATCCCTGGGAAACAGTCGTCCTTCTCCACTGAAACTCTTTAGGACATTTTTGAAAGTTTAATGGGTCATTGATTTCCTCCATTAGCTAAATCCACGAGGAAAGGCCAGAGAAACCGCGTGAGATCATGCCTGCCAGGAAAAGATTTCAGCTATCATGACACATGGTCATTTGTTTATTTTCTAACCAGTCATCACTAGATGATTCCCAATCACCACCATCGCTTCTCTGGGGATTCAAGAGTTTGGCTGGCTCAAGGCCAGACCCTGGCAGGGAATTGGAGAGCTTTACCAATGAAAGGAAGACTCAGAAAGGCATAGCAGACTCTGGTACCACGGGTCCCTCCTCCCCGCCAAATATCAGACAAGAAGTTGGGGGAGATACAGAGAAGAACACCATGTGAAGATGGAGACAGAGATTGGAGTGATGCTGCCACAGACACGGGACCATGAGCCACCAGGCGAGAAGAGGCAAGGAATGACCCTCCCCTAGAGCCTTCAGAATGCTTGTGGCCCTGTCGGCCCCATTGATTTCGGACTTCTGGTCCGCAGAACTGTTTGAAAATACATTTCTGTTGTTTTAAACCACCAAATTTGTGGTAATTTGTTATGACACTCCTAGGAAATTACCACAACCATGAAACAGCCCAGACTTGGACCCTGCAGCCCCCTCTCCTCCATCAAGAACTTGTGCGTAGCTTTGGCCCCACTCAAAGGCTGCTGCAGTCCTTGGGTGACACTCCCTGCAGGCTTGAGGGCCACTTGGGCTCCAGATGGGCATTTGATTTATTTACTTATTTAGCTCAGCCCACAATGATAGGAATGAACCAGCCCTCTTCTCTCGTCCCCCAAGGAGTTCTGTGAGTACCAGACAAGTTAGCACTCAAATCAATGAGGACAGGAAGAGTATACCAGAGCCTGGAGTCACTTAAATGGGCTAAGATTTAAATTAGGCAGCTTCTAAGTGTGGGATTCCCAAACTTTCCACCAGAATGGACATCTTTTGTTAATTTCCTCCATGGAACACCCAGTTTCTAAAGACATTGCCTATGAAATCAATTGCATTTATTCAATAAGAATTCATTTACCTCCCCCCTCCAATTGCTATTATATGGAGGTAGGTATATAATAACGAGGGCTAATATTTATTGATCCACTCACTATACTAATAGCACTATACATATACTTATTCCATCTTCACACCACCCCTATGAGTAGGTACTTCTGTTATCCTAATTTTACAAAGGAAGGAACAGAGGCCGAGAAAGGTTGCACAGCTAGTATTTTGCTAAAGGTTGCATAGCTAGTATTTTGTAGAGCTGAAAGTTGGACCTAGGCAGCCTGGCTCCAAAGCATTCCCCTGGAGACTGGGTTAGAATCTTGGCTTGCATACCAAAGTGCAGTGCAAGTGATTTTGTTTCTCTGCACCTCAGTTTCCTCATCCATAAAGCGGTAACAATAGTAGTGCCTATTCTGTAGGATTGTTGTGGAGATTAAGAACGTGTACTTGGGCCGAAACCGGTTTGGCTCAGTGGATGGAGCGTCGGCCTGCGGACTGAGAGGTCCCGGGTTCGATTCCGGTCAAGGGCATGTGCCTGGGTTGCGGGCATATCCCCAGTGGGAGATGTGCAGGAGGCAGCTGATCGATGTTTCTCTCTCATCGATGTTTCTAGCTCTCTATCTCTCTCCCTTCCTCTCTGTGGAAAATCAATAAAATATATTAAAAAAAAAAAAAAAAAGAAAAGAAAAAAAAAAAGAATGTGTACTTGGAATCCCAGGCAAGTGTCTGCCGCAAGTACTCAAGGAATTATTTCAACCAGCGATACCAGCAGCTGCTCTGGCCAGGCTTGAGATGCAAACAGGGGACAGAGATGATTCGGTCCTCTAGGTTCTCTGACCCCATGCAGTTCACGATTCCATGTAATGTGCCAGGCCAGAGCTGGATGGCTTCAAGTAGAACCTGCAGGAAGGCAATCTGACCAGCCCTTTTCATATGTGCTTCCAGGACCATAGATGGACAATTAGCTGGGGCTGCTGGTAAAAAGTACAAATTCTTGGTATCTGAATTCCTTGGAGTTGGACCCAGAAATCTGTATTATCCAACACTCTAAGTCTAATGCACCCTGGAATTAATGCTCCTCTGAGTCCAGTCTGGGCAAGAATTCCTTGATACTTTGGGAAACTGAAAATCATGCCAGGACCTCAATCCATTCCTGCAGCGCCCGAAATCGGAGACCTCCAACGGAAAGCTTGCATTTCAGTACAAGGACAGTACGGAGAATGGGGGGGGGGGGGGGGGGGGGGGGTCTTCCTCAGCAGCCTGGTAAATAATAAAGCTCTAAGTTTCATGAAAAAAACGTGCAGATATCTGGCCAGAGGCAGGAGGCAGGAAATGGAGCATGCTTCCTAGGCCCATATTCCAGCTTGGAGCACTGAGGCCAGGGCCCTGGCGTTGCAGAAAAGATACATACTATTTCAAGGCCACCCCGTGATTCAACGGGCCTCCTAGAGGTTTGATCTCACGATCCCAGGAGGCCTGGCAAACCCAAGCGCACTGCGTGGAGCTCCCGGGGTCGCCCAGGCAACGGGTGGGCGCCCCGCCCAGGCTCGGAGTTCCGGAGGGGAGGAGGGAGCGAGCCCTGAGAGAGGTCTCGCGGGGCTAAGGCCGCTTCCCCCAGCACCTCCCCCTGACTCCACCCCGCGGAAGTGCCGGCTGACCTGTTCGACCGCTGATTGGCCTTCACGCTGGGGGCGGAGTCCACAGCAGCGCGGTGCGTACTTCCGGCTGCCGGGTTGACATGAAGAAGCAGCGGCTAGGGCGGCGGTAGCGGTGGCAGCCGAGGCTTGCAGCGGGACTCCCGGCGGAGTGCGCGACGCGGCCTAGAGCGGCAGACGGCGCGGTAGGCCGAGGAGGGGGCGCAGCAGCCGCCCTGGCCCGTCATGGAGATGGAAAAGGAGTTCGAGCAGATCGACAAGGCCGGGAGCTGGGCGGCCATTTACCAGGTGCGGGAGCAACCCGGAGCGCGGCAGGCCCTTCGCTTAGGCCGCGTGAACCTTCCCCTCAGAACCCAGAGTCCCGTGCTTCCTCTGGGTCTCGACCGGTGCGTCGGCCCTGCTGCGTGAGGATTCAGTCCGACGGCGGCGGAGGCCGGCCCCCTCTCTCTTTGTCCCTCGGGTGGGCCTTCGTCCCTCCCGGATCTCGCCGTCCCCTTGGATCCCCCACTTACCTCGCATCCTCCAGCCCGGTGACCTCTCCCGCCCGGGGGCGGCGGGTCCCGGCTCTCCGCGCGCATCCCTCGCACCCCGACCCCGCCCCCCTTCCCATCCACTCTTTGTCCCCGGGGGTTGGCGGAACGCCCCCGCCACTTCCTTTTCTAGACGGGACCACCTCAGACTCTCTTCCTTTGTCTCCCTGGGAGCAAGGGCTACTCCCCCTCCCTCCTTCACGTTTCCTTTCCCCTCGTCTCCGAGTGCTTGGGAGTCCCGAGGGTGACAGTCCCCTTCCCCCTTCCTGTCCATTCATTTGGTGGATGTGAATTGGCGATGCCCGTTCCGTGCCGGGCACCGCTCAGGCGCCGGAGGTGGTGTGTACTGAATGAGACCGACCAGACCTCATCCCTCGTGGAGCTCAGCGTCCAGGAGGACAGTCGCACACATGAGCAGATAATTTCGGGTAGTGACAGGTGCTGGGAAGAACACAACGCGGAAGGGAAGGTGGGCTGCCCCGGAGAAGGGGGTCAGGGCAGGTCTAGCAGGCATTTGCTCCCTGAGCGGGAAGAGGAGCGGCAGCAAGCCAGGCAGGTATCGGGCCAAAGATCCTTCCAGCCAGGAGGCCCGAGGTGCCCGCTGCACTGGGGCCAAAAGGCTGCCACCCTTTCAGGCAGGGACCATAGGAAGTTACCATGTTGACCGAAATCGCATCTTCCCCCCCGATGAGCATCTTAATCCTTTGGTGGAGGCTGAGGTGATGGGGTCTTCCAAGTCTTCGTCTACTTGTGGATGCTATGGTGGTGCCTACACGTTAGGAAGGCAGGGTTTCTGACATATCACTAAAGCATCAGATTAAAAACACCAAGCGGTCTGCCTTCACCAGCAGCTAAGCCCTCTCGAGAAAATATGTGCTCCTGATTAAATGTCATTGCGGGGGTTGTGAGGACTCACCAAAACCGCACTCCATGTTTTAAATAAACGGTGCACAGAATAGAGAGATGTTGTTACTTGTGTAAAGGGAGAAGGCAGTGCATTCCGTTTCCAGCTTATAGGCTCAAAAGGCAAATTGTGAGATCCATCAGCCGGTAGTATTAAAGTCTATTTTGAGCTCCACTTAAAAAGGAAAGAAAGCTTTAAGCAATTCTTTGGTATGCTTGACTAACAAAGCTTTTTTTTTTTTTTTTGGCATGCTTGGTTTCATGTCGATTTGCATCAAGCTTATCTGACAGGGTTACTTTTACTTAGACTATAAAGTATATTAGTTATTGATAAATATATACAGTTCGTATCCATTGCCTAGTCTCTCTGAAGTAATTGAGTGAATTTCACTAGCGGCTTTGAGAATGTGTAGACGTGCTGTCTGTGTCAGATTTAATGCAGTGGAATCTAAAGTGGTTCTTAATGAAAAAATGGTTCCTCTAAAGTGTTGGATATTATGATATACCCGTCACAAGTGGAGGTGGCCTCCACGAAGCATTGGGGAAAATCTATTATACCGGGACTGAGTTGGCAACAACAAATTCATATTCTAAAAACTCATATTCTAAAAGAATTTGGTTTCTTACTGTTTTAGGCCAGAGCTTGGAGCATGTTCGTCTTTAATTTCCCTCCTTGTTCTTAAGTTTCTCTACCGTATTTGAACTCCAAGACTCAGTCAAGATTTGCAGTATGTCGAGGTTCCCTTAATGGATTGCCACGTCCCTGGAGGTGGTTTCTTTTGACATTAGAGAGTTGTCCATTATGGGCTTTCTCACCTCTACTGTACAGGTATTTTTGTTTTCTAACACTGAAGTCAGAAACTCTTCTCCTTTTTGAGTTGAAAAGTGGCTCTTTATTGGGCATTGTGTCATTTTTAAAAACATAGAGTTTAGATGACCTTGAGTTGAAAGTGGCACATTTCCCAAAGTGTGTGCCAATTTACCGAAACCATTCTTTCTCAGGAATTCAAAGAAATGTATTTCAAGTTGGAAGAAAATGGAAGCTAAAAAAAATTAACAATTTATAGCATGTCACGATGAGGACAGCCTTGTACAAAGTCATTTAAAGCTTGCTTAGTCTATTGTGATTAGAAAAATATAATTTCTGCTTAAAATTTTGTAAACAAGACAGTGCAGTTATTTCTTATGACACTAACTTCTTTTCTAACTAGAACAAAAAGATGCAGAAACTTGGCAGCAATTGGGCAGTGAACAAAGGGTAAAGTAGACTTGAATGCTGAGGAATGTGGTAGCTTAGAAAACAAAAGTGTCAGGCAAAGATTCTATGTAAGCTTAATCTGATAACGTGAGCATAACTGTTTTTAATTGTTAGAGCTAATAAATAGCATAGGTACTGATGAGCATTTAGGTTTATAAAAAAGTCAGCTTTGATAGCACATGTAGATGGGTTTAAAAATTGTTCCCTATCATTTAAATGAATGCGTGTTGATTTGAAAAGTGGAAGTAATACTAGTGAGCTTAGAGTTTGAGTTGGTCTGGCTGTCTAAGAAGAGACAGAACACAGATGGGGAAAAGGGATTGGGTTTTGGAGCTAGAATGAAGAGAAAACAGAACTTGAAGTAATGAAAATAGCTGATAAGCTGCCCTCCATCAGTAGTTTAAGGTTGGGGTCAGGTGTTTTGCTCTTTCTCTCATCTTTAAATTCTTTGATTCTCTGACACTGTTCATTCCTTTAAATGTGAATGATTTGATTGTTTCATATAAAGGAGGTTGCCACCGTAGCTTGTGACTTTAAGACAAGATTTATTCCATGTTAGAGGCCGGCTTTGTAGAATGGGCCACTCTTCCAAATGACTTGTTTTTATAGCTGCTTTCATTATGAAATATGATCTAATGCATATCTAGGTTAAAACCATGTTATAACAATAGTTCACTAAAATTCTTCACTGCTGTATACAGTATATGGTTTTATAATCCAAGAAGATGAATATTAAAATTTCCTAATAATGTTTATTTAAATACCAGTCTCTTCAGAGAAAGACTTTGTTTTGTGAAGAGGAGACAGATCTATACACTATGACTCACTTCACTTAAAAAAAAAAAAGACAAACGGAAATGACATGGAGAGATTGGGAAGTTCTAGTCATCTTGAGTGACCCATTAGCTCTAAATGTGCTTGGTTAGCCCTGGTTTAGGTGAACTAAATTTAGGTGTCTGATCTCCACTTTGGAAATGGTGTAAAGACCTTTGTAATTGTTGGGGCTCATATTAAATTAACTGGGAGCACGAGGAGAAATAGTGGAGGGAACTTTCTGCTATTATTTGTTTGACATCACTGGCATATTTATAGGAATACTTTGGTACTTTAGGGAGTACATAAGCAGGTCAGCTGGGGGATAATGGTAATGCAAATGATCTTCAGTTGCCAATTACCTGCAATTTGCATTTTAGCATGAATAGCTCCCCAAAACCTCTAAAAATACCTGGTATTGAATAATGTGTTGAATGTACTAGTATACTGAATTTCATGATAGAAATGAATATGAAATTTCCTGTAGGGGTTTTTTCAGAGTATAAACTGTTGGAATAATGACTGTGCCTTTTCTTTTTCTTTTCCTTTTTTTTTTTTTTTTGGTATTGTCTGTTTTCTCATCTCTTAGGATGCAGAAATTTTGTCCTACGATGTTCTTTTAATTGCAGGTACTTTTTCTTAAGCCTACCTGAACCCATATGTATTTTGCGCACACTGACATTCCTCCCTGCAGTGTTTGTGTTCATATGTTCATGGAAACCAACTAATACTGACAGATAGGCTGGGCATGTTTCTTGCTACTGCCCGTGTTGGAAAATGGGAAGTCTAGCTGGGTCATTGTTTCCAAGACAGTGTAGTTTGGTATCAGGCACTTGGTGTGTTTTCAGTATCCAGTGAGTGCTAGGGATTTGGACTAGTTCTTGATTCCCCCTACCATATTTTGTTGATTGGTCACCATAGCATTCTTTCTACCACCCCAGTGGTCTAGGTTCTTAAATCTATAATAAAAAAGTGTAATATGCAAATCGACCGAACAGCCAAACAACGGAACAACTATCCGGACGCCCTTCCAGACAACCTTCTGGACGAAGCCGGGGCTGTCTGCATGAATTTTGTGCATCGGGCCTCTAGTTTTGCCTATAATACTATAGTCATTTGTAGTTTCATACTAGAAACAAGTGAGACCAGTTACATATTATGGTCCCTTAAAGTCTCTCCATATCTCCTCCTACCCCGCCATGTATATTCTTCACATTTTCACTGGTAATTGTGTTAAAAACAGACCTGAGTCAGGTCACTCTGTTTAATTACTTCTAGTGCTTTCATAATACCTGTAAGGTCCAAACTCCTTAGAATGGCAGCCAGGTTCCAGCCATCCCCTCCCATGTACCTCTATTCTAGCCACACTAGAATGTATAGTGTTCTTCAAAATCATCCTTCTCTTTCCTCCTCTATATCTTTGAGTCTGCAGGCCGATGCTCTATCCACTGAGCCAAACCGGTCAGAGCTTTCCTCTGTATCTTGGCTCAACACTGTGTTGCCTGCCTTTCCCACTCAGATGTGTGCCTCCTCATACTAGATCTTTGTTGTCTCACCTGTGTGTTTCCATACAACTTCATACTTACCTCTTCTGAAGCCTTGCTCTCATGAGAACTGTTTCTTTAGATCTAGATCTATCTCCTCCAGGGTCCAAGCTTCCTGAGGCCAGCTAGTCCGTCTTTCTCACTCATCTTGATGTCCTCTGCACCTGGACAAAGTACGTGCCTAACAAATGCTGAATTGAATTGCTTGTCAGCCCTTTGCCAGGCCCTGACAATATAAAG